CACAGTAATTGCTTAAGTAATTAATATCCTGGTAGTCTTTGACCATATTTTATTAATGTAAATACATAAAGTAAAATTTTAAAAAGCTCTTAAGAGCATGTCTACCTGAATCGTATCAGGATGCCTCTCAGATGTGAGAGAAGAATCTAGATAAAGAAAGAATTCATGGTAATACTTAATCTTCCACTTTTTTTTTTAATCCTGCAGAGAGTTAACAACTCAAAATGGCTTTCTGGGGGCAGAAATTAAGCTGGAGAATGGTCATCTAGGCATGAAAAATGTGGCATTAGACACCTAGTAGTTTTGTTTATTGGCTTTATGTGTTACCTACGCTTATCTCTCCATACAAACCTCTCAGAGATTATTTTTATTTGAATGAAATTCAATGCTTAGTAATTATTTTAAAAAGTAAATTTTTGTGTATACTAATTCACACTTTTTTTTTGGTGTGACTTCGTTATAACATATTTCCTGAGGAGATTTGAATGTATTAAAATGTTTGTGAGATAGCAGCAATTTGCCACAGATTATTAAAACAAAGGTTAAAGTTTGATATGGGAGATTGAGAGTAATTGGAAAAGCAAATTAAATCTTAGCAAGCATAAATTATCATAGCAAAAATTGCTGATCCTTTAGGTTCTTGCTGCCAGTTAACGTTTAGTGGATGGGCAAATCTTTTACTTTCCTTGTCTGTTTGCTTGTTTTCTATCATCCAGCAAGATTCTGTTAGGTGTAGAAAAAGAGCTGTTACATTTGGTCAAATAAAAATGCCCCTGTTCATCCGTTAGGTTCAGTGACCTTGAGAGCTAATTGTTAAGGGCGGTGCTCTGTGCTCTGCAGCCCTGTGGGGGCAAGTGTTTTGTTGCATAGTGGTGCACCACCAAGATGATCTTTCAACCTTGTGCTACTGTTGTGCACGGTATAAATAGAAGACAAGGAAAGAAAGAAAGGAACGAGGGAGGAAGAATGCAAAATCACTTGGGCAATTAGTTCTTTTTACTTGAACACATGTGAATAAGTTATATTTAGATTACTAAAGAAAATTATTTTAGAAGATTTTTAATGCCTACGTCCATTGTGTGCTATATCAAACAACATCTTACACAGCTCCATCACACTATACAAATATAGGTTACTTTCTAGAGGTCCAAAATCACCATTCAATTAGAGTATATAGGCAGTTTCTTTTTAATTATTTTGCAATTTTATTTTTTTTATCAGTACCAGGGATTGAACTCACAACTGCCTGCTTGCAAGGCAGGCGCTTATGCCAGTGAGCTAAGTCCCCAGCCCCTATTTTGTAATCTTAAATCATCCTCTTCTATGTACTTCAAAACCAGGAGTGGAAAATATGAACACCGTCTTCATTCCATCTCATATTTATTCAAGGTTGTATGGGTTTTTATTTTTAATGAGGCATATCTGCTTTTTTGTGTTTACTTTTTATTGTTCTTTCAAAAATCATTGTAGTAAATGTAGATGTGACTTCTTCCCCAGCAGAGCTTGAATGCTGTGGCAGTCTCCCAGGATACTGCACTGCGATTTCTGGAAGGGATGCTTAGAAAGGAGGAGTCCTTTGACATTTTGGGTTTTTTGATCTTATGTCTGAAATTTAAAGTCCAAACTTTGCTGTCTGGCAATAGAAAACTTCAAAATAACTATCAATATTTAAAATAATGTCTCCACTCTAAACAATGGAGAGAATATGTATGTGTGTCTATATACTAGGTGTTAATAGTGGAGAGAAAATGAGGCATATGGATTATTGTCCTTAATGGACTTACGATCTAATTTAAGAGTTGGAAAGTATGCAGAACATTTTATCTATTGAAAAGATAACCATCAAAAGTAGAATAATAGTTATGTTCAAACTGAACTAGAAATTTGCATTTATATTTGAGATTCTTTACAAAAATCTATACAAGAACATTTAAAAACTCTGTTGCTTTTCTTAACTTTGTCTCTGACTAGCTATTATTATTTTTTTTTTGGTGAATTTCATATAATTAACCACATATTTGTTACAGATAGCTTCAGAGACTTTGAGAACCACTGAATAAATTATCTTGATGTTCCATTTTCATTTAATGATCACAAGCTTAATGCTTTCAAAACTAATGTTTTAAGTCCAGATTATACCAATCAGAATTATCACAATTTTTAATCTTATATTTTCATTATCAAAATCATAATAGATTAGCCTTCAGGAAGTCTGATCCATTTTCATGATAAATTCACTCAGTCATGTAATTTAGAGTTCAGTTTCCCTACAGCATCATCTGGTGTGTCCTCTGAGGCATGTAGTTTTACTTCTGGGCTTGCAGCAAGAAAATCCAATTAGATAAGCTTGATTTATAGCTCATAGATATTTTCACAGATTCTAATTTACTAATACTTAAACTAATATCATGTAGTAAAACTAACATTAATATAACATGTACATGTAAACGTTTGACATAAAATTGTATAGCTCATTTTAAACATTGCGCATGTTTTCCCTCCTAAAATTTGTGCCTACCTTTGAGAATAATGACACAAAACTTTTATAGAAGTTTTTTCCAACATCATTTGAGTAATGACTCTTTTATTTAGCAGATTTCTGTTTTCTTTCTGGTTATAGTTCCAGTAAAAATGTTCCTCGATGGTTATTTAAAGTAGGTGCTGAATATTTTATGAAGAGTCTAGATGGGATAGTGGTTAAGACTAAGAAAGTCATGTTTGTAAGTGTGTGTGTGTGTGTGTATGTGTGTGTGCGCATGCATGCGTGCACATGTTACTAGGAAATGAAACCAGGATCTTCACATCAAGCAGCAACCCTAGCACCTTTTATTTTTCATTTTGAGACAGGATCTGGCTTAGCTGCTAAATTGCTTAAGTTGAGCTCAAACTTGTGATCCTCAGCTTCCCAGAGTGCTAGAATTGTTGAATGCCATAACATGAACAAAACCAACACATGCAACCATAGTTTTTCTCTCATTCTCATTTGTGATTTGAGATAAGAACAATGGGGAATGTAGAAATCATTCCAGCATGGATACAACCCCAACCAAAGTTTTAGTACTGTTTACAATTAGAAATAGAATATGCACTATTCAAAAGGACAAAGCATTAATGAAAAATTTGAAGGTCCTGAGTCTCCCGGAGTTTAGGGATGATAGATTGGTTACAGTGAAGCTGCTCAGAAGCTCGGAGGTAAGACAGGTGTGCTCAAGCCGGTTTCCGTGGACCTTATTGACATAGCATCTCTTAGCTGGAACAACTCAAGGTGTTTTATGAAGAGGAAAAGCCCTGCAGAGATACGATTTTACTAGGGAAAATATCTGTTCTATGGTCCTTGTCATAAAATTTCTGCATCAAAATTCAGCTTCAGTTCTTAGGGTTTTAGGAGGGAGGCAAAAGAGTCCCCAGATGTTTGAAAAATAATTGTTTTTGGCAGAATGCTCAGCCAATGAAGTGTAACTTTGGTTATGCTCACCACTGAGGAAGTTCAGAAATTTCAGCTTAAATAGTGGATATGAAATCTATCCTGAAATTCAATTTCAGGTGAGTATTATGTTCTTTGTAATTTCCTCTTATACAGGAATGGTGACATAGAAATACACTGCTCAACTAGTGGTGTGCTTCAGGGACTTCGTTGGACACAGCAGGCAGTCTAGCTGATAAATGCCCAGCTTCTTACTTCATTTCTGGAGTGATTGTTCACAGTCCTTGACATTATTTGTGGTAGCAGAAATAATGACAGTAGAGTAACATGACATTAAAAGATATTTTTATTCCTGATAAAATAGTACAATGATTATTTGACAGAAAATTTGTGTAACTGAAGCCCTGGATATATTTTCAAGATTTTGTAACTATGCTTACTATCATGTAATCATACTTGCGCCTAGGAACAAGGTAGATGTTAAATGAGCAATTCTAAGTAATGGATATATTGAGTATGGATCATGCATTTAACAATATCACAAACAGCTGAAATCCAAATACTGAGTGCTAAATATCCTTTATGCTTTATGAGATATGATTCTGATTTACATAATGAATTTTCATAAGTATGTCACAATTTTCAGGAAGTTCATTTTTATGGATTTATTTATCTAGTACAATTAAAAATGTAGATCATTTCCTCAAATGTAATCAGTCACCTTAAGTAGTCTCTAGTTGAGTCAATTAGTGTGTTATTTCTTTATTTACCCTAATAGTCTAAGATTGAAGAAATAGATTAGATAGCTTGGAAATATCTTAGGAACAGCCTAAGATTGAAGATAATTACTGCTCATTCACATAGGAAAACCAGAGCTGGAAAATTAACAGCACAGCTGGAGAGGCTAATGAACTGAATATTTAAAATTCTTTGCAGAAGCTCAAAATCTGTCCCTGGATCCCAAAGGTGGCTCCTTTTTGACTTATCAACCCAATCATGAAACTTCAGAACCATTTAAACATCACACAGATGAAACAGATTTGTTCATATTGCAACCTTTCCAAGTGTTCTCAGGATTGTCTTTCACCACCCATCATTTGTTTCTGACAAAGTGCCATTTCTTATATTCTCTTTAAAATGACAAGTTGCTAATTGACCGGCAAGGTAGCTGGCCCGGGTTAGGACTCTGTTATTGAATTCCTATGGTGGGAGTGAAAACAAAAATACTGATGGATACTCATGTTATGCCTACAATTAACAGAGTAAACATCTTAATAGGCATAGAAGACACAAACAGATGTTCTAATTGCATGTCTGTGAGAAACTGATGTTTACTAGTTCTCCTCTAGCTTGGCCTTTGAGACCTCAGGAAGTTTTCCTCCCAGTGGGGATTTCAGTGATTTATTGATTTCGGTACAATGAATATTTTAGAAACTCACAGGATTTTTAAGAGGTTAAACACATCCTTACAAAGGTTAGCATTAATTCATGCTTGAAGGGCTGGCCTACTCTGTGTTACCCGGGGCAGCGACGGTCACATGGGCCACATTCCAGGCTGAGTGGGAGGGAAGACAGCCAGGGTAATGGAAGGGATTTCCTAATAGAGAATGTAGAAATAAAACATTAGCACAGGATATCTTCCCCCTCTTTGAGTGGAACAAAAATTAGGGTGATATAAATAACAGCAACCTCCTAAAAATTCCTGGTTGAAAAGACTGAATGGTCTTGATCAAAGCAGTAGAGATATTTTGGTGGGGGGATTCTTTTTGAAACCCTTAAGACCAAATAAAATTGTAAGGTCTAGCAACTTGAAAGGTTTTTAAATGATTAAGAAATGCTTAATTTTCTACTCACCTTCTGTATTGAATCTCCAAATCCATGCTAACTTGTAAGTATTTGGCTATTTTCTTTTTTAACCAGAAAGATTCTAAAAAATTACTTGTTTGTTTATATCCTTGTGCTATCTCTTTTCTTAGTCGGGCTCTTGGATATGAATACCAGTGTATGTCTTATTGGTATTAATAATGATAGCCAATACTTCTCCAAAGTTTATTGCATGCCAGGAACTGTGCATTTAAATAACTTATCTCATGAAAAGAATGCCATTATATAAGATTTATAAGTATGAAATCATTGACAAGCTATTATTTTGTTACAGATGCAGACAATCCTTTATCTTAGACACTCAAATTTTACTCATTTATTAGTTATTCATAGTAAGATTTGACTCATTTTTTTTCTTTGTGAGATAAAAATGGTTTATAGGAATTTTGCTGTAGACCAGGCTTCCTGCATGTGTGTTTTCTGTCTCTATAGCAGCAGCACTGCTGACCTGTTAACTATGGGCCATGTGTGGTAGCTACATATTTGAAGCAAAGATGATTTGAGTTGAAGATTTAATGTGGACTAATTAAAAATTACTTTAATTTTTATTCATTACACATGGAAATGTAGAGTGTTAGACAAATTAAGGTAGATTTCACTTGCTTCTTTTTCATTTTAAAAATGTAGTTACTAGAAGATTTAAATCTTAATAATCAGAATTAATTTTTTGTTGAACAGTATGCAGTTTCTCGAGTCTTGAAATCAAGTTGGACATTGCCAACTTAGTTTCATTCTCCACACTGTCTCCTGGCATTTGCTTATCATCATGGCAACTATAGAAAACCCAGCTTCACAGTGGTGTCAGTTCATAAACAAAGGCACAAATTAACACAGAAACCATTCAATTTTGTATAGATAACATTTCCCAGAATTATAAATTCTACATTAGCTGGGTGTGGTGGCATATGCCAGTAATCCCAGCACTTGCAGGCTGAGGCAGGAGGATTGCTGAGAGTTCGAGGCCAGCCTCGGCTACAAAATGAGTTCAGGCACATCCTCCACTACATAGCAAGACCCTGTCTCTAAAAACCATTTCTACAGTGTTACCAGGATGTGTATTAAATTCACATTTATACTTATTCAGTTATTCTTTAATTTATCTATTCAGATTTATTATCTAAAATGTACAAAATGGTGAGTTTTAAGTGCTGGTGATCTCCCATAGAGTTTGCATTCTATTAAACAAAAAAGGAAGAATAATAAATGTCTTAGGGTAAACAAGCAAAGTAATTGCAAGCCACACGGAAGATGTGATAAAGCATTGCTGAGACATGGTTGGGGTGACACATTAGAAGGATGGCCTAACAAGGCCTCTCTGAAGTGACATTGCAGCAGGCACCTAACCCAGGATACAGGTGTAGTCAACCTCAAAAGGAATTTGAAAAGAACATTGTGGAATAAGCAACAGCAAGGACCATGAAAATGGAAATAACAGGGTGTCTGCACGGTAGAAGGGGACCGTGGGCTGATAGGACATGCTGAAGGAGCTGGCAGGATCTGGATCATGCATGGTACAGTCATCAGTTTAGTTTTTATTTTCCAAAAGCCAGACTTAAGCTATGTGGCACAGTGCTTTGTGTATAACAGGTGCCAAAATATCTTTGCTGAGTTAATGGGCCGAGGCAAACAATGGGTGTCTAAAACAGATGCAAGATCCAGCTTTAAACACAAAACTTTAAAGACCTGGGGTGTGAAAAGCTCCACTTTCACAAGGAGACTCAGAGTGGACCTAAACTAGGATTGTTTGTTTTCCCTCCACTAAAATGTAAAAGTTATTTGCCTCATTCCAAATTTTTCCTGCTTTGAAGTTGGCCTTTCTTTGACCTGCAATTTCTATTCCAGGTTTAGATTAAAGTTATCATTTCTGGCCATTCAAACAACAGCCCCTCTGATTTCTACTTTTACAGAATTAAAAATGATTTTTGCATGTGCTGCAGTCTATTCAGCATTCATGTTAATGTTTTCTATGATCAATTTTAAGTATCGTTGTTTGAGAAATAGAGTGGTTCATTCCAGGAAAAGTAGATGGCTATTTATTTTCTCATTTGCAGTTAATCACCGTGTGTGTGTGTGTGTGTGTGTGTGTGTGTGTGTGTGTGTGTGTGAACAAAATTTTATTACTGGGAATTACCTTTTTTCAGTGGTGCCTTCCAAGTTTACATTCAGGCAGGCCATCTAGAGCTCAGGAGACTGAAAGACTAACAGACCTGCAAAGGTCCTTGGATTGATGATTAGATTAATTAAAGACATACAGTAAAAATGAGAGAAAAGAGATCAGGAGACTGACAAAGCTGGAATAGGGGAGCAGTTGTGCAAAAGGGAAATACTAAGTAACCACATGGTTTGTGGGGCTTACCTTTTGAATTAGAGTAAAAGTGTGGTAACCAAATAATGACCCCCAAAGGATGTTCATGCTCTGATCCTCAGAACTTATAAATATGCTGTCTTACATGGCAAAAGGGTTTTTGCAGAGGTCATGTTAAAGAACTTTTGGTGGATTACGTAGGTGGGTTCAATCTAACCACACAAGTGTTTAAAAATTGGAGGATGTAACTAGGTTTAAGGGAGCATGAATCTTCTCTCAGCACTTTGGAGGCTGAAGCAGGACGACTGTAAATTTGAGCCTGTCTTAGTTACTTTTTTCATTGTTCAGACAAAATATCCAGTGATAAGCAAGGTTTTATTTAGCTTATAGTTTGTAGAAGTTTCAGTATGTAACTCAGCTGACTCCAAGGCAGGATGGCACAGCACAGGGGCAACAGTGCACTGTAGTGAGAAGACAGCAAAAACAAGAGTCAAAAGAGACGGGAGGGACAAGCCTCTACCTGCCCTTTTATCCTGGACAGGCTGCAGGAATTAAGGTGTTGCCAATCCAATCAGTGCAGTGATTCAGTTATCACCTAGCCTTAATCCCAACACCTTTAATTCTAGTGTTACATCATGGATCAGTCACAGGTTCTTGACTCAGCTACTTCCAAAAAGCCTTCCCTCTAAGACTACAACAGGGTTTGGAGGGACATATAGGCACAAACCATAACATTCCACTCCTGGCCCCTCAAAGACTCATACACATCCCTTTCTCAAAAGGCATTTAGTCCATCTCCAAGAGTTGTCAAGGTCCTAACAGATTCAACATTGCCAAAAAGCCCAAGTCCCAAGTCTCCCTCTGAAATGTAAGGCATACTGTTGCATTCAATTGCACAAGATAAATATTTTCATTCCAAAAGTTATAAACAGGGGGGATACAAAGGAATGGGACCAAAGCAAGTCCAAAATCCAATAGGGCAACATTAAGTCCCATAGTTTCATGTGTAGTATTTAAGACAATAAGTTGTGAGCTTCAAAGATCTTGGGTGGCTCTAACCCTGTGGCACTTCTGGTGGTTATAGATCTCATGGCTTCTCTCTTGATCCTGCTCTGCAGGTTTCCTCAAATAATCAATGTTCCTGGCTTTTCCAAACTTCTGGAGTTTCCACTGTACCTTTGCTTTACCATCACAGCTCTATAGCTCTCCCAGGCACACGCCTAGCCTCCATAGCCTTCTGAAATTGTGGTGGAAGCCTTCTTAACCTCACATCTTCTTCATTCCACATGCTCCCAAAGCCAGTGCCTACATGGATGACACCAAGGTCTGCTGCCAACTTAAGAAGTAGCTGGGTTTCCTGCTCTCTTGGATGTAAGGTTGAGTACTTGTATTGCTGAGGATTCTAAATTCAACTCTGAGGAACAAATTCTCTAGGCTGTCACCATTATGGAACATGGAAAGGCTGTTGCATTCTGGAACATGGCTCTCTATGGCTTTCTTATCAAAGCAAAGTCTTTCACCTTTGCAGTTAAGGCTGCAAGGGGTGGAGACTTGCTGCTTTTTGTGATTCCCTTGTGACGCCATCTTTTGTTTTCTCTTGTTCCTTCTCAGCAATCAAGATCTCCTCAGCTTTATCTTTGTAATCCACAGCATTACTGGACCTTCCACTCTGGCCAAACTCACATTTTAAATCATTATGCTGGGCTTTTTGCTTTTGGTTCTCTACCTAGTTCTGGCTAAAAGCCTCCAACAATAGCCATGCCAGTGCTCCAACATTCAACTGCCTTGAAATTTATTCTGACAGATTTATTAGTCCACTACTCTTAATCTCAATCTCAAGTCAAGTCTCTGAATAAAGCCAAATGTAGACAAACTTTCTGCCAAGCAATAACACACATCATCTGGGTTCCAGCAACCAATGTAGTCTTTCTTCACAGCAGAAACCTCCCAAGCCTTGTCTTTACTGGCAGGATTTCTATTAGCCTTCTGGTCTTCTGGGCTTTGACCAGAATCTCCCATATAGAACAACTTTACAAACTCTTCCCACAAGCCATTCCCAAAAGCTTTTGAACCATATGGTCAGATATAGTCACAGCAATAGCCCTGTTCACAGTACCAAATTCTATCTTAGGTAATTTTCTCATTGCTAACAAAATATCTGAACCCAAAGTGAAGTAAGGAAGGATTTATTTAGCTCACAGTTTTTGAAGGTTTCAGTTCATATTCAGCTGGCTCCAGGTAGGGTGGTGATGGTGGGGTAAGCCTCTTTCTGCCCCTTTTGTTTTATTTAGACTCCTCCTGGGATTAGATGAGCTAATCAGTGGAGTGATCCAGAAATCACCTGGTTTTAATCCAGCACCCTTATTCCTGCATTGCACCACAAATCAGTCACAAACTCTAGATTCATCTACTCATGAAAAAACCTACCTCCATGATTGCATGAGGCTTTGAGGGGGGCATATAGACACAAATAATAACACAGCCCTACCTGGACAGCTCTTATTCTGCAATTCTGTCTCAAAATTATAAATAAATAAAAAAAAAGACATGAATGTAGCTCAGTGTGAAGGTCCCAGTACTTACAAAGACAGAAAAAGTTGGAGAACGTTTCTTTCCTACAGTCATAAAGAGATGTGAGTGTAGACGGAGGGTAAGAACGATGTGATGTTTAAGATGAACAAAAGAAGTTATCTTCAAGG